GGGAGTCCCCAGCATCTTCAAGGGTATTCTCAGCCTTGCACAAGCTGAAGTACTGGGGCTGGCCTTTAGCTGTGTAATATAAACTATTGCAAACACACTTTCCAAGCAACAAGAGCATCATAAGGAGCCACTACAAATATGTGCATTTTTAGTAACTGGGAGTCCCCAGCATCTTCAAGGGTGTTCTCAGCCTTGCCACAAGCTGAAGTACTGGGGCTGGCTTTTAGATGTGTAATATAAACTAGTGCAAACACACTTTCCAAGCAACAAAAGCATCATAAGGAGCCACTACAAATATGTGCATTTTTAGTGACTTCTCCATTGCTATAATGGGTTCATTGCCCATTATAACAGCTTGGGAGACTGCATCCTGCTAGATAAATAATGTTTCTGAATATGCAGTGTTACTGAGCTGTTGATTTCTCCATCCAGGATCTAATTTAAACAAGAATGGGTTGATTTTATTTGACTGATTTTGTCATACAGCTACATATGTAAATGTGTTTCAGATTTTAAGAGTCTTTCACTGTCATTTATTGCTTTTTGACTGTTTTACATTTCTTGCTACAGTCAGGCAGACTTATTCTTAGACCATGAATGACCACAAAAAAGGTGAAATCCAAATAATTCAGCTATCGATTATCAGGAAAACCAGAATTGTCCTATATGGCATGCTTTGTTTTTAATTTTAAGATTGTTGTGTCCTATTTTTAATAGTTCTGAAATGTAAGCACTAGCTTGGAAAGATTGACTTTGCAGGTACCTGCAAAAGATAAATCTGAGGTATTTCAGAGTGTGAGTGGCATGGACCCTTCATCTGGACAGTACAAAGCAAACTGGCAAGGTACTGACAGGGGAGATGAAATTTAATGCATTCAAACTGAATTTGGTATTAACACACGAGTGTAAATTTTTTTTTCATCTTTCATACTTATGTGAAAGGACCTTAGCTCTAATTTCTGTAGACAGTAGAAATATGCATCCAAGCTTCAAAGAGTCTTCTTTTCCCATTACCTTTTAAGACACTGTTAAGATCCAAATATTGAAAAATGTCTCTCCCCAAGTGAAGGTGAACACAAGACCACATGCCAAAGTAATAGTATGGATTTTATTTAACAGTATGTGTGAGGTAAAGAAATAGAAAGAAATATAAAAGGGTGGTGAGTGAAGAGAGAATCAAGCATAAGACAGTCACCACCCATGGATCCAGTGGCGTCCTGGTGGTCCTTCTTCACCCTGGGCTTCTTGGTGCTGGGGACCCAGAGTCGTTTTTCTGATGTTGCTCACCATGTTCACAGCAGCTTTACCTCCTGTAATGGGTTGACTCTGGCACAATGCCAGTGCTCTTATGAAAGGTATATTTCTAAAATGGTTACTGTGAGATGGGACCTGGAAATAGAATAAAGCAGGCTCCAACTTGGGAATGGAGGGAAAACACAACACTTTATTAATTTATAACATAAAGATAAGAGGGGGAAAAAAGGAAAAAAAAAAGCCCTACACACAATAATTGACAATGGAAAACTTCTAAAACACTCTTCCTCCCCCCACCCCTCTAACACTCAATTCTCAGTCCAATACCATCCTCTACACAACCTCTCTTCAGTTCATCAGGAGAGAGGAGTTTCTCTCTTGCACTATGGGCCTCTCCAGGAAACACAGTTGGAACTTCCTGTGTTTCTGTGTCACACATGACAGCCGCCCCGAGAGAATCTGCCATGGTGATCATCTTCTTTCTATGTTCAGTGCTCTCACTACTGTCTATGGACTTAAACAGCTTCTTAGGTCTTTTTAAGAATGCCTTGCTTAGTTTTAAGAAGTGGCAGCTTCTCACCATTTGGGACACCTGTCCCCTCCATATTTTACCTCCTGGGGCCGAGGGACTTCATGAACAGACATCCTTCTCCATTGAAGGCAGAGGGCTCCATCACACCCTCCCCATCAGTCTCTGATCCTTCTACTCCTTCTCACAATGGCTTTGTCACTCCTGGCTTCTGGCTAACTGCTTCCTTCAAGGTGCAGTCTCTACATTACGGGAAGAAATTGGTTCCGTCCCATGGCCATGTAAGAGGAAAGTCTAGCCAAAAGGCCACTGCAATAATTTCTTCCATCTAGGGCACTTCTCATCTGCTGGCATTTTTTCACTCTCTTAAGCTTTCTTCTCATTTGCTCATCCTCTGTCTTCTCTTAATTCTCATCTGGGGAGGATCAGTGTTTTTTACAGCTTTCATTGTCTCAGCACCAAAGCGGTTAAAACCTCAGCTGCGGTCTACCCGCGGCTGGGCACCTTGCTCTTCTCCTTCTTCTTCTCCTGGCCATGGTGCCAGCACGAGATTTCAAATTTCAAGCCAGCACAGACTCTATATCACTCTCTCCTGGAGGGGGGCTGCCTGAAACATCCCAGATCTCCTCCACCCCTGCACCTCGCAGGGCTCCGGCCTCCCTTCCCTCAGGCCGCAATGGCCTCTCCCTCCCCACCCAGGCGCAGCTGGGCAGGGGAGAGGTCAGATTCGACTCACCGACCAGACTCAAAAGAGAAAGTTCCTCTGGGAATCTTCTGCTTTTAACTCCTGTGTGTTCTCAGAGGTGTATCCAGGTCTTCAGTGGCCACAACAGGTGCTAATTTTCAAATCTGGCCACTGATTGGTTTGATCACAACTTTCTCAGAAACTCACTTCCTGGACAAACCACGACACCTCCCATGTGTAGTGTGTCTGTTCCTACACTGCTTAGAACCACTAAACTGCTCAATGCACACTGCCTGGTAGGTCAGCAGCAGTGAAAAGAATCCTGTAACTGTGGAACTTACTGCAGATTTATGATATAATGTTTGTCGTGCAGATCAAGCACTGGATTCATGACCCAAGTAAAACACTGAATATACAGATATTTGTCTGGGATATCTGAGATTGAAATATGACTGTGCACCACACTGAAGCATCAGAAAAGGAGATAATGGACAAGATCTTTGATGGAACCCTAATAGATATTATATAGATATAGAACTCTAATAGATATGACATGAATGGTGTGCAGTAGCCATGTATTCATGCTGCAATGAGAATCTCTGAAACAATATAGGCTTTTTTGGCTTTCTATCGATTGTTGGAAAACAACATTTAGTGATGCAATTATTCAATTTATTGTAAATGCACCAAATCCCTTATAAATTCTCTGCTCTTAGCTTAAAACAAAGTTACTGTAAAATTATAAGCAACAGAAGTAATATACCATGCCATTCATAATATTACATATTTTCAATGAAGGAAACTTCATGTTTTTCACTGAGATTATTTCAGCAATACGACTATATCAGCAAATAAGCATTCTTGAAACACAGTTTTGAGAAAATAGCAACTTAATGTTTGCTTGCTGAATCTTCTGTTTAAATCCTATTGAAATGAAGTTTTGTCTGAAGTGTCTGTGTTGACTTCCTATAAAGAGTGAAAATTGGTAACAGAGTGCTAGATTAGAAATCATTAAACTTTATGTGACAGTAGCTCCAGGTGAGAATAGGAAAAACATATCATTACAAAGACATTGTCAAGTTTCTTATTCTTGTTAGTAACTCCTTCCATCACATACTGACAGATGCCGGCCTAATTATCTTTGGGAATGTCCACACAAGCTGGAGTGCAATACAGTTCATTTTTAATTCTACACAGCATCTGTTTTCAGATAGATATGGGTACTCTCCTGAATGCTTCCTCTTAAGTGCTCTAGTTTCATCAAATTTGTGATGGCTGGTGCTCCAAGCCTTGTTTGTATACAAAAAAATGAAACTTCCAACTTCTCCCTTTGAAACAGTAACTGTGTGTTATAATATTCAGCAACCCTGACTATGAACAAATATCCAAAGAAATTTCAAGATTTACTAATATGAAAGTATCAAAGAAAGCTGGTTTAAACTTAAAAACACGGGGAGAAATATGAAATTTTAGGCTCATTTAGGCTAGAAAAGACCTTTAAGATCATTCAGTCCAGCCATTAACCCAGCACTGCCAAGTCCACCACTAAACAATGTCCCTAAGTGTCACATCCATACCTCATTTAAATACCTCATGAGAGGGTGACTCAGCCACTTCTCTGGACAACCTGTTCCAGTGCTTGACAACCATTTCAGTGAAAATATATCTCTAAAGAAGGGAACTTTCTAAATACCAAAACTTTATCTATATTTCCCATGACTGGCTATGAAGACAACAAGAAAATCTCTTTCTTATCTTTTATGGGTCATATCCAAGCTAAATTAATATCATATAAATTTATACATTAATGAAAAGAGTAAAAAGTCTATTCCTTTGGAAGGACTCCTATAGGCTTGGATGTAGTTTAGATTAGGATCATTATGGAGAAAGGAAAACATCATCCCGATACCAAAATAATATTTGGGGTTTTAGATAGTTGCAAAATACAGACAAGAAAAAGTTGTACTTTGGATCTTAGAAATAATTTCATGGAATCAAAAGACAATTTCAATCTAAATGAAAAGGAAGACTTTCACTAACATCTAACATGTCCCTAAATACATTAGTATTTACGAATGTTCACATCTAAATTGCGGGCATTTCATTACACCATCAACAGTGTGGAGGTAAACATGTTATTGTTCTGAACAAGAGTTTATCTTGGCATTAGTTTTATTTGTGTCTAATAATGCTGAAAATCTTGTGATAAGTGCCAGGCTTTCTCAAAGCAAACAGCTGAGCCAGTAAAGATTGCCAAACTCTTCAAGTCTGTAAGATTTGTTTCAGTAAATGTGGGATGCACACTGGTAAAGAAAATTACACATATTTTTTTAAATTACTTTGCAGCTAAAAGAGAATCTACACTTTGGTTCTCCTTAAGGTTCAGTGAAGCCTTGAACAGCTCTTATTTCATCCAATTGTTTTCTCTATCTGCTTTAAATGGCAATAGATGATATTTCAAATCTCTATTTTTGCCTCATATGTGTGGCCAATTTCTTCTTGATATTTATGTTTCTACATGTTTTATTGTAGGAGAATTTCCAGACATTTCAGTTAAGTCTTAAAATTGCCTCAGATGAAAGAGAGAACCTTGATCAAAAGAAGAATGGTCTGATTGACAGGTCAGTTTCACAATAAAGCCAAACCTGAAAAAGAAGCAACGCAGACTCTTTCCATGACCAGAAGAATGAGCACTGAGAGACCTTCCAACTTCATCAAACACCCAGGGCAGACAAGCATTCCATCCCTTGAAAACATAAGTGATTTTTCATTAAATATCACTGACTGCACCCAGGTTGTGGTGCCAGAGGAAGTTTTTTTCACGGTTGCTGCCGCTGGGATACTGGAAAATCTACTTATCCTCATTGCTGTTGTAAGAAATAAGAATTTACACTTGCCCATGTACTTCTTCATTTGCAGTTTAGCCATTTCAGACATGTTAGGTAGCTTGTACAAAACTCTGGAGAACATCTTTATCATATTGTGCAAAATGGGATACCTGACACGTCACGGAGACTTTGAGAAAAAACTGGACGATGCCATGGATTCCATGTTCATTCTGTCTCTGCTGGGGTCTATTTTCAGCCTGCTAGCTATTGCAGCAGACAGATACATCACTATCTTCTACGCTTTGCGGTACCACAATATCATGACACTGAGGAGGGCCTTGGTTATCCTGGCAATCATCTGGGCGTTCTGTGCCAGCAGCAGCATTGCCATTGCCCTCTTCTCCTACGAAGCAGCAACAGTCATTCCCTTCACCATCCTGTTCCCTTTGATGATGTTTTTCATACTCTGCCTCTACGTCCACATGTTCCTCCTGGCTCGATCTCATGCCAAAAAGATCGCCTCACTGCCCAGCAGCACCATCCATCACAGAACTAACATGAAAGGTGCAATCACGCTGACTGTTTTTCTTGGAGTTTTCCTTTGTTGTTGGGCCCCCTTTGTTCTTCACATCCTCTTAGCAAGGTTTTGCCCACACAACCCTTACTGTGCCTGCTACATGTCCATTTTCCATGTGAATGGGACACTTATCATGTGCAACGCCATCATCAACCCTATGATTTTTGCATTCCGAAGCCCAGAATTGCGGAACACATTTAAGAAGATGTTCTACTGTTCCAGGTCAAACTGCAGCTGGTGAACACTTCATCAAAAATGAAAATTATAGAAGCATTTATGGGGTGTTGTGCAACATCAGTGTGAAGAGTTAAAAATACCAACAATTTCACCCAAAATAATGTTATGCTTGTAGTATACTGCCAGAGATTTTTCAGAGTTACCAAAGACTGAATAAAAAATAAGTAAGCACAAATCTTTGTCAACCAGATCTCCACACTAAGCTAATTCTGCTCATAATTTTCATGCAAGGGGAAAAAACTAAACAAATATCTTAATTATCTTTTGTCATTTCAGAAAAATTCAAACTAAAATCTGCATCATGTTGCATTACCTCAGATATGAGCAAATTCATTTTGTATCAGTAATATCAATTCAATACATATACTACTTTAAAATTCTGTTGTTTAAATTGCAATGAAGTGAATATTTGTTTCTAAACCATGCATTTGTATAAAAGTATATGGTTAAGTAGAAAACATGAACATGTAATTTTGCTGTAAAAGCAAACTCAAGACTCTTCTTTATCATCTAATCTCAAAAATCATAAATATAATAAATATTTAATCATAAAATCATGCAATTAGTGATCTCTAAGTTTCAAAAGCAACTCTTGGAGTGTAAGTCCAAAAGAATAAGATATTTTGACTGAAATGCTATTTTTAGTCACTGAAGTGTTATTTCCAACATAAAGTTGTCGTGCCAGCAAAGACGGGTTTTGAATTTTAAAACTCCTAAGCCAGGTCTGGACTAGCAAAGGGAATTGCTGAGCTTGTCAGTGCCAGTTCTCTTCAATAAAATAATAAGGTCCTCAGATAGGAAAAGCACTTTGATTCAACCATGGTATGCTACAACAAAGAATTCAAAAAACATAACACCAGAGATAAAATTCAAACACTTCCAAGGAAGTCAGCCACCCAGGTAAGGAAGCAACCATCCAGTCTGGCAGGATGCTACAAAGCAGGTTGTAATTTAGAAACCCTTGCTTTGTAAAATTTTGAATTGTTCCTGCCAAAATAAAACAGAGCTCGCAAAACTTTAAGGCAGAATGGCTTTCAGCAGCAAAACATCCTGAAGTAGTCCAGAGCATATGGTGAGGACTTAACCTCACAGTAATTCAAGGAAGTCATTCAGCGGTGCCACAGAGAAGCAGTGAGAGAATTTCAAGAGTATGGAATATGGATAACCCATACAAATTCAGGTTATCTTGGGTTCAATAAAGGACAATAAACCTGAAAACCTCTACAGACCTACAAATTCAATTAGAAAAGAGATACTAAAATGAAAATTTTTCAAACCTCTGCATTTATTGCAAAAAAAAGGCTCATCTATAAAATAAAAGTTTAGAAGGGAGCTCAGATATAATAGTGTATTTTATTTTAATAAGAATTTTTTTCATTTCCATCAAATAGCAAAACAAATGTAAAGCTGCACAGCAAGAAACAACTGTTAGAATTGGGGGAAAAATAAAAGAAACATACAATGCTAAAGAAAAGGAAAAACAAAACCTCTACAGTACTGCAGTGCGCTGTGCTCAAAAATAATGAATTTTAAAATGATGAAAAATATTGGAAAGAAAATTGTGATTAAGGCAGAGCTTATATTAACTCTGTAATGCATGAATTATCAGCCAAATGTTCTTTCCCTCCAAACATTATTTTCCATCTGCTTCCCTAAAGCAGACATAGGTAGGAGAGATAAGTAGCTTCCACCATGTTAGAAGTCAGTGCATCCCATAAGGAAAACTAACTCGACACATGTAAAGACTCCACATTTACAATGAGCTGTCCAAATGTAAATTATTCTTATAATAAAATTATCCGTACCTCATAACACCTAAACATGGAGAAATAATCATTAAAGAAAACCAAACTTTTAGCCCCACAATGAGGAACACTCGAGAGAGACTCATGTCAAAATAAAAAATTCAGCAGTAAAAAATATTATTGAAATTCTATAAAAAGTCCTTTGACAAGGACTCTTCTCATGGAGATGCTGGCAGTGAGGGCTTGGAAAGGTACCCTTGTGAAAGCGGGGGATGGACAAGGTCATGGCTACAGCAGACCTTGGGTGGTGCCACTAGCTACTGCATTCTTCCACCACACCAGCCAATGGCAGCTCAGGGTAGGTGTGGTTAGACCTGGCTGCCTTCAGCCCCTATCTGACTCCCCTCACCTGCAGAAAAGTTTCAGGAACTGAAACAGGTGCCAGCCTCCCTTTGCAGCATTCCCAGGTTGAAAGAAAGGGGAAAGAGGCAGTGGACACTCACAGACCCCAGCTCCCACCCCTGCACTGCCATTTTTTTTACTTTGCTTTGCAATGAGGCCCTGGGCTTCTACCTCGCCAAACAAAATCCATCCCATGGACACACCTTTGATCATGTTCCTCTGAGCCCTCTTTCAACGGCAGAGCACACTGTTCTCCAGTAACCCATCTGCCTACTCTTCCCCAAATTATCCCACTGCCTTTCCCAGCACCATCTTCAAGCCTCCAGCCACCATTTATCTGCAAAACACAGAGCAGCTGTGGTTAAGCAGGTTATGGACCAGTGAGGATTTTTTTCCACCTAGATTGTTAAAGCAAGAACAACACCTAGGCAGTAAGATTTTGGTAGGTTTTATCCCACATTGTTTTCTTTGACTTAAAAATGTTTCTGCAGTCACTGACATTGAACCTCAGATTGCCATGAGATCCAAGCACTGTCTGGAACTGGTTCCCACCTCATCTTACCAGAGATGAAGTGCCTGTTCTCTGTGGCCTACCTGGACTCCTCTGTGGATGCACTCAAATCAATATCCCAAAACATCTGTTCCTGTCGTGATGCCTGAGAAACACCCAAACTTACCATTCAGGGTAATGTCTTTAAACTGGAGTAGACACTTGATGGCTCTCACTGTTATACTCTGCATCTAATACACAGACAACCAGCAAGACTGGGGGAAAAAGGCTGCAAGGTAGACAGGTTGCAAATCATGAAAACTGCTTGTTTTTCTCCATTTTGTGTTAGAGACAACAGGCTTTGCCATGTTCACTGTGTAAATTTGTAATAAGTGATCCTGTGCATTTGCAATACAGCTGAAATATGTGTCTACAATATTAGATCTCAAGCTGAGCCTGGGGGTTATGTAAGGAATCTATATAGAATTCAAAATACACGTGTAAACTTTTTTTTCAGTTTGCACTAGTTATGATTAAATGAAGCATTCTTTTGAAAATATTCCCTTCCTGGGAGGAAAGAGTCAGGAAGAACATAAAATATATTTGAGTAAAAAAGCTTCTAGAAAGATTTTAATTTTTTCAGCCTGCCTGCATTTCTTACATGCTAGCAGATGGGTAAATCTCTATGCATTATCTCCTAATTGTCTGTAAATTTTTACTTGCATTTTAGTTGTCCACTATCCAAGCAAGTTTGTCTGTCTCACATACCAATGTCTCCATATGTTTACCTATGTTGCTTTTTGAACAGATTCTTTAAGCCACAATTTTTGAAGCTTTCATTATATTGTGCTGAAGTCACTATTGAAATTCTCCCCTGATATATTAACATGTGAAAATGAAGAATTTTCTCAGATTTTGGAACTTCTCTTCATCTGCCCAGCTTTAAATGTTTAGGAGGCAGAATTGTACATTAACTTTGGGACAAAAAAAGTTCATTTTGGATTCTACCAGAAACTAATAAGCCTGAAAGGAACATTCAGTCCTTTGAAGATCACAGGCAATGCTACAATCAATGTTTCATTTGGAAGGATCCACAGAACTTCTCATGCCTGTGGCAACAAAACATTTCCCAGTCGCTTACTGCAAAACCAAAGAAGAAAAATTCCTTCTCTCTTGTTATTGTTTTGAACTGAACTTCATGTTCAGGAATAAAGTGAACAAATCTGATAAAGGCACCCAGGGGAATTAATTCCCCTGAAAGCCTTGGTATGCCAGTGAGAGACAAACTTGCAGTTCGATTTTATTTACAAATTAACAAGACAAACACAGTCTATTCATGAGAAAATATAGTTTAGAGTTAGTTTATTTGTGTGAGAAAAATTTTGTTTCTATGAATCGTTGTTCTGGACAAGACTTTCAGAAAAATAGGTGCCTTGGACTCCTATCAGCTGAACAAAATTTCAGCTTTTCAAATAAAACTACACACTTCAAATAGTACATTTATTCAAATAGAATTATACACAAGTAGGGCCTGGTTTATTAATTCTCTAAGGTAATTTCAGCAGAGAGCTATCCATTGTGTCCTTATCATTCAATAGCACTTTAATATAGCTTTTTTGAAGTGTTATTTCTCAGAAGACATAATGATGTTGTAAGCTTCCAATACAAAGAGGACAACTTAAAGTACAATTCTGGAGAACTGAGTGTGACCACTAAAAAAAAAACTTTTCATGTCCACTAAAAGCAGTTTTCTTACATCCTCAAATCCCCTCACACCTATAAGACAAAATCAGACTATTGAACTGTCACACATAGTCCGATGAGTGACCATTAACCACCAAATAATTCTGCATAACCCATCTGGAGTACAAATGCTAACTGAGTAAATAAAATTATTTATTGCTTTTGAGAATTGTGGGGTGTTTTTACATTAAGACTATGAGAAGGGTTTGTTAGTCCACATTCCATTGCTTCATCAGCACCTTTACAGTGCCATTTATTACAACTTCATTTCCTGAAAAGCTACCCCTAAACTTTGCACTATCTGGATAAAGATAGTACATTTGTGGGTGGAGTTACTCCATCAGCAGCTTCTCACCCTCTGACAACCTAACCCCCAAGGATAGAGAGGGAGCACATGGCCCAGGTGGACACTTGCATTGACATTTCAGCTGTAGTTAGCTGTACAGAAGGGTCTCCAGTACAAAAAGACAGATTGCCCTGATGGACCCCAAAGGAGACCCATGCAGTGCCCTGACTGTGACCTGGTGGTTACAAGGTCAGGCAATTAAAAAACACTTTCATAGTGTCTAAAGCCTCTCAGGAGCCTCTGTGTTAACACATCATGAGAGCATTCAGCCCTGCAGGAAGTCTGGGCATCAGAATAACACCATAAGGTATAATATGGCCTCTAAAACCAGCAAGAAATATCTTCAGTCCCTTTAAAATCCCACCACATAGGTTTTTTCTGGCTAATTATTCCTGACAATTTAAATTTGGTCTCAGGGTATGGTGGCATTGAAGGTCTTGGGTAGATGTCTTCCAATTCAAAACTAGCTTCCTGGTCCAGGGACTCCTGCAGCTATTCACTTTCAAAATTAATTATTATTATCCATCATTTTAAATATGCATTTGAGCTTTTGCTTGGATTTTAAAGAGTGATCTATAGAGTTGCTTAATGCACTATTTCAATCACAGACCACAGTCTTACATTTTCATTTACTTGAGAAATGAAACCACTGCCAAGTAATTTGGGTAATCATATCATCCCGTGTGACAGCTAAACCTGTCTTAACTGCCAGCCTGTGCAATGAGATAAAAAGGGAGGGAAAAAAGGGCTTTGGCCCAGTATGGAGCCGCCTATGTCAGAGGGCAAGTTGAGAGGAGCTGATGCAGGCCTCAGGGCTCTCATCTGCACTTTGCTTCCTCTCAGATCACAGCAGAGCCTTTGAAAGAAGGGGGGTTTGGATAAAAGGCAGCCGTTCACTCCTGGGTGAGCAGGAGGTGGAAAGAAGCACAGCCTTGCAAGTAAGAGCTGGCTGGTTAATAAGGGGCTGAGACTGGCAGCATTTCCCATTAGAGAAGCTGGCACTAAGGGCAGCTAAAAGTCTGGGAATACACCCAGGGAAAAGGGTTGATGAAGAATAATAACTTTTTAAAATAACGGTGTTCAATGAGCAAAATCAATTGTTCAGCTTTTTTCTGTACAGAGGGATCTTTACTGAAGGTTTTGTCTGGGTGGCTCAGGAGTATCAGGAGCACAAGAAAACTCCTCACACGGAGGCATCCCTGGGTTTCCAAGCTGGAAACTTTGCCAGCAAGGTCAAGATCAGGTTAGGAAGACAAGGGCATGGAAGAAAATAGTCATTTCTAAGACTGGGTAGCATAGCATGGAAGTAAGCAGAAGAGAGGAAAACAAAAAGGTGGGGAGGACCTATTCATCTTGCGTTACTGGAAAGACTTGTATAGAGCTGAGAGAAGTAGAAATGAAGGAAGTAACATTCATGGTCAGACAAACAGTAATGCTGAGATAAGTGAAAAGAGGCAGAGATGTCCAGAACATGGCTTTTTCTCCTGATTTGCAATAGCAACCAAAAAGAAAAAATAGCAACCATTTGATTTAGAGATCAAAGACACCTTGAAGTCTTGTTTCTTTGGATACGTGCAAATAAAGTGATACCATAACTCATGGAAGGAATTCAAAACAGGTCCTGAAGAATTTATAATGTAAATAGGGGTGATGTTTGTGCTTTATGGCTTAATTATTAATTTATTTTTCAATTCCTTTAAAAATGTTCAGTTTCTTCCTTTAATCATCATCATAAAATTCTCTGTGATGATCCTGGTCACTGTTAATGTATCATGTCTGGAGGTCAGTCATAATACAGTCAGATTAAGCGTGATGGTTCTGGTATTTCAAAAATAACCTGGTCATTTAAATTTAAAACATATTGCACAGTCATTTGAATTTCAGATGTTGATGTTTCAAAAATATCTCATGCATTGTATGTTTTACATCCACTCTATAACTAAGCACCTTACAGTACACTTTCCTCAGCTGATTGTCCTTCCAGCAACTGAGGCATGAATGCAAAATTTTGCTTTTACATGACTAAAATTATCTAATGTAATATCTATACTTACATTTAGTAGTGTATTCAAATGTTTGTCTTCTTATATTTGAAGCAGAAAGCCTGAATAAAAGGCTGTACTGGGAAAAAGGAGGGTTAAATAAACTGAAGGACTTCAGTGGAATTTGGTACCTGAAACAGGAAGACCTTTATCTGTTTCTGTTTTTCCTTGCAAGCAAATGCACACGAGCTCAGATGACTCTTTTTATTACACTAAGCCTGTAATGGAGAATTTCTCCCCTAAAGAATTGAGAGGTACGTTTACTAAATCTTCTCATATTCCCTGCAGCTAACATTGAAGAAGCACAAACTCTCAGTTTAAAGGTTTGAAAAATATTCTCCTGAGGCAACGTGATAGGAAATGAGGGGAAAGCAAAAGGTCTTCTGAATTAAGTTAGTCTGCTCCTCCAGTGCTTCTAGACACATTAATGAAAAAGCCTTCCCCCTAAGGAATATGCCATACCAACTGGCAATGTTTTGAAACAAATGCCTAAAATAAGAGCCAGAAATAGCATTTGGCAGTTCAAAAATCCATCTGTTCTCTTAATGATGCTTTCATATCAGTGGTTTGGGGTCACAGATGAAGCAATATGAAAATGAAAGTGGTTTTACTTCAGACTAGTTTTACTTACACTGATTTCAAGCTGAGGCACACTTTTTAGTCCATTGATGAATTTCTTCCAAAAAGTATATTTGCTCAGATCTGCTGAGTAAGTCCTGGAAAGGTAACCTTGGCCTGGTTTGTGCACCTAACCAGCTACCAGCTTCTCCATAACAGAGTGAAATGCAGATTGTCTTGTCTGTGAGTTTGTGGCCCCAGCTTCATGAATTAGGACAGCAGTAGGGAGAAGAGGCTTTTTCCATAAAAGAGAAATCTGATGCAGCTGCAGAAGTGGGTGACAGTCCCTCCAGGTTCTGAGAGGGGATATTGGTCAGAGAAACCAGATTCTTTAAGGGCACAGACCTCTGCAGGAAAGCATGGCAGCCAGAGCTATAGGATGGGTGACACAGAGCAAGGGAGCTGTCAGCAAATGTAGCATTAAGAAGAAAAAAGGCAAAGAAACCAAGTGAGTCATTTTAGTAACGCTAACAGTAGAAATAGTGTCAGCTATCAAGAGAAAAATGGTCAACCACCACTGCACCCAGGATACTGTGGGCTGCAAGAAGTTGGCACAATAACCAAGAAATAAGAAATGAGAAAGGACTAATGACAGAATATTATGAACTAAATTTAAAATGTATATAATTGGTAAAAAAGGAATTTAATTCTAACATACCTGCTTCAAATGTAGCAATCTGTGAACAATGTGAAATGCACTCTGATTTTTGAAATGTTTGCCTTTTGAAGGATATTCTACCTGTTGTTACCTGCATTAACTAGAATCCCTTTTATCCATCAACAGTAGAGAATTTTTGCTGCATTTTAAAAATCACTTTTTAAAACATCATACTGTGCACTTTCAAGACCTATTGTTTGCTCCTAAATCTTCTATACCTTTTGTCATGACCCACTCATCCCTTTCCTGACCTAGTTGCAAGAGGAAATTTTAAAGTTATTCTCCTAGACTAGTTATCTCAGGGTATTCTCTTGAACGACAATACTTAAATTTATTACAATAATATAAGATGGAGTGAAGGTGCTCTGATTAAGTAATGAACACATTGAAAAGTGGGAAGGACGTGCTGTGACCATATGGAGGAAATGTTCTTGTAAAAGGTAGGAGCTCCCTCATGCTTTCCTCCAAAAAAGCCAAAGTAGGCCAGACCGATAGTCAGTGTCTGGGCTGCATTACAGGAAAAGCTGCAAAACATTTCATATCATCCTGACCACTGTACCTAAAGTATCCCATGAACTAGGAAGTCTTTGCTACCAGCACACACACACACACACCCCTCCCAAACACATCAGCAGGTCTCTGCAGCTGAAAAAATTTGTTCTTTAAATGAATTAGCATATTAAATTAAAGGAAAACAATATTATTAGCTGGCCAAAAGAAGACTGTATCTGGAAACAGAGGCCAGAATGCAGCCAGCTTCTATTTCTGAGGAGGAGGTTAAGGAAAGAGAAGGTAAGGAATGGGCTGATGATATTCCAGGGAGGGAAGAAAACAACTGTGTCAAAACCCAAACATGGTTTATCCTGCAATAAAGAAGTTAAAGATAGAAAAACTGTGTCTACAATAAACACAGTGTATTAATTAGTTTTAATACTTAGTGGTGTAGACTGACCACTGTGTGTGTGTTTTTTATGGGATTTTGGGCCCTGTTTACATCACGGGGACTTGACTCTTCTTTTTACCAAAGATACAAAACAAGAGCAGTGGATTTACTGTGTGGAATTGAACAGCCCATGCAATGGCTTTCTTAAGGAATGGTAGCATCTCTTCAGGAGACAGCTTCTCTAGCAAAGCATAATGGTGAGAGTAAATAGCAGATATTTGAAATACACTTTCAAATATACACTTTGATGGGAGCAAATTAGCTGTCATATATGGAAGGCAGTACCCACACTTCAGCCAGCATTGCTTCCTCTCCATTCCCTGGTCACCTCTTGCTGTCTACATTTCAAATGTATGTGCACATGCTCAAAGTTTAGATCAAGATTCAGTGTGTCCTCGGCTGTCTTAAAACAAATTTGTGTATTATCTTTGGCATCTTTCATAGACAATTTGACAAGTTTCCAAAACCACAATTACATATACTTGAAACACAATTGCACCCACCCCTAAGGCTAAGC